AGAGCCTTGGGGCGAGTGTTGACGCAGTCTAAGAGAGTCTTGGGGACTTTTCCCCAGGGCGCTGTGTCTTATAGAGTGCTCCAAAAGATCGACTAAGACGAGAGCTGAAACGTATTTCGTTGTGTGCGTCTTATTTGACTGTAAAGTATAAGTGACTTTCCCGATCCCGTACCTCAAGGGGACGAGATAGAGAGACGAGACGAGTTTCCCCCCTGGCAAGTGTGGAGAACCCGAGTACAGAAATTTTCCCCTGATAATATCAGTAACTGCGAATACCAACTGTCAGAAATAGTAGTCCGAATAGCGACGGTTATATCGTAATTAGTTCCAAATCACTGAGCCAAGTTTGGTCCAGGGCCTCGCATGGGCCTAAACGATGATAGATATAACACAGCCATTCGCTAGTAATCAGCTAATTAAGTCGATCAACAGATACGTGCAAATAATTTCATCATAGTGCTCTTGATACTGAACGTACAATATATATGGTCCTAATAAATATTCATTACCATATGTGGATTATTTATCGTGGTGTGATGTAGAGTTAAATAGTCTCTCTTCTCAGTAACCACTACAGTTTCTTTATCAGCAACCATTACTGTTTCCTTCTACTCCATAACCATTACAGTTTCTTTCATCTCGGCAACCATAACAGTTTCCTTCTTCTCAGTAACGGTTACACGTTATTTCTCAGTAACCATTACAGTTTCCTTCTTCTCAGTAACCATTAACAGTTTCCTTCTTCTCAGTAACGATTACAGTTTCCCTCTTGTCTGTGACCATTACAGTTTCCCTCTTGTCAGTAACCATTACATGTTCCTTCTTCTCTATAACCATCACAGTTTCCCGCTTCTCAGTAACCATTACACGTTCATTCTTCTCAGTAACCATTACAGTTTCCTGATTCCAAGTAACCATTACACGTTCCTTCTTCTCAGTAACCACTACAGTCTCCCTCTTCTCATTAACCATTACATTTTCTTTCTTCTCGGTAACCACTACAGTTTCCCTCTTCTCATTAACCATTATAGTTTCCCTCTTCTCAGTAACCATTACAATTTCCCTCTTCACAGTAACCATTACAGTTTCTTTCTTCTCAGTAACCATTACAGTTTCCTTCTTCTCCGTAAACATTACAGTTTCTTTCTTCTCAATAACCATTACAGTTTCCTTCTTCTCCGTAACCATTACAGTCTCCTTCTTCTCCATAACCATTACAGTTTCTTTCTTCTCCATAACCATTACATTTTCCTTCTTCTCAGTGACCATTACAGTTTCCCTCTTCTCAGTAACCATTACAGTTTCCCTCTTCTCAGTAACCAATACAGTTTCCTTCTTCTCAGTAACCATTACAGTTTCCTTCTTCTCATTAACCATTACAGTTTCCTTCTTCGCATCAACCATTACAGTTTCCTTCTTCTCATTAACCATTACATTTTCTTTCTTCTAAGTAACCATTATAGTTTCCTTCTTCAAAGTAACCATTACAATTTCCTTCTTCTCAGTAACCATTACAGTTTCCTTCTTCTCCGTAACCATTACAATTTCCTTCTTCTCAGTAACCATTACAGTTTCCTTCTTCTCCGTAACCATTACAGTTTCTTTCTTCTCCATAACCATTACATTTTCCTTCTTCTCAGTGACCATTACAGTTTCCCTCTTCTCAGTAACCATTACAGTTTCCCTCTTCTCAGTAACCATTACAGTTTCCTTCTTCTCATTAACCATTACAGTTTCCTTCTTCTCATTAACCATTACATTTTCTTTCTTCTAAGTAACCATTATAGTTTCCCTCTTCTCATTAACCATTACATTTTCCTTCTTCTCATTAACCATTACAGTTTCCCTCTTCTCATTAACCATTACAGTTTCCCTCTTCTCAGTAACCATTACAGTTTCCGTCTTCTCAGTAACCATTACAGTTTCCTTCTTTTCAGTAACCATTACATTTTCTTTCTTCTAAGTAACCATCATATTTCCCTCTTCTCATTAACCATTACATTTTCCTTCTTCTCAGTAACCACCACAGTTTCCTTCTTCTCAGTAACCGTTACAGTTTCCTTCTTCTCAGTAACTTTTACAGTTTCTTTCTTCTCAGCAACCATTACAGTTTTTTTCTTCTCAGTAACCATTACAGTTTCCTTCTTCTCAGCAACCATTACAGTATATTTCCTCTCAGTAACCATTACAGTTTCTTTCTTCTCAATAACCATTACAGTTTCCGTCTCAGTAACAATTACAGTTTCCTTCTTCT